TTTTCATACCCTGCACCTTCGCAAAGGGTGCTTCGCAAAGGAACACTTGAATTAGTCGCCCCAGGACAAGAATAGGCGGATCCAACCTGCCATCAGACCTATCAATAGTGGGGGACTTTAACCCAGCCTAAAACGAACCTGAATGGTCATAAACTCCTAAAACTAGTCAAACTGACTAATCCTTAGTTTCACTCTATGGTATTTTTATGTCTATATTCCATGAACGGAGGCACACACCTTATTGTATGTTGACAATTTAGACCAACGAACAGGAAACCAATAATTTTCTCTATATTTCTTTTCTAATTATATTCTTTTCTACTTTACATGTTCTTTACATCTGAGCTTGACATCCAAAGTCATACGTAGGTATTTCGCTGTGTTTTGGATTGATACTTTAGCACCACTCAAACTCAATTTTGGTTCACTAAATTTTTGTTTGAGAAATTCACATGTGCAGATTTACTTTCATTTATCCTTATTTTCCATGTATTTGTCCATTACAGGTAATATTGTTACTTGCTTCCTGTAATTTTTTGGTCGATTATTCAACATTAGATCCTACTGCCAATATTGCTGTGTCGTCGAAAAAGGTAGTGACAGCAACCCATAAATCGAACGCCTGCCTTTCCACTAATGCCTTTTCTGCAATAATTGTTATTCTGTGTACTTGATCAATTCTTGCATGCTTTGTTCTAAAACTACACTAATGGTTTGGAATCAATTTCTTATTTTCTATTATAGGCATTAGCCTTGTTAACAACAATTTTTGAAAAAGTTTTGATTGGAGAAATCGGTCTATATGGCTTTGCTTCATTCAAGAGTTCCACCGGTTTTCCTGCCATAATAACATCCGCTATTTTCCAAGCACTAAAAACATACCTCATACCTGTTAACCTCAGTTAACAGCTTCATGTATCAATTTTTTCACAAATGTCATAGTTTTTCTCGGCAACTCTCGTAATGTCAAATTACCTTTTCATTAAATAAAGCCATAGTGCTTTCATTCATATCAAAATCTTCCACAAAAGAAATACTAGAATTCAGTATTTCAGAAAAGAATCAGTTTTATAACTGATGCTTTTTGTCCAAGATCCATTTCCTTTTTGCAGGGGGGGATTCGTTTTATCGGCTTCTTGGTACTCTCCGTTGCTTTCCACAACGAATAATTCATTTCTTTAGTTGCCAATAAGCCCTTTATATAATTCTCGTATGATATTGATTTAAAATATTCCATTTTTCTTTTCCATTCACAATAATTTTATCGTCTGAGTGACACGTTTCTTGCCATTCATGTTCAGTCATTCAATTAAATCAGTTATATCCTTAGGATAAGTACTTGACACAGGCTTCAATTTAGAGAATCATTAATTTTTCCTGGCGGCTTTCTGTATCAATTTGATAAAACCCGCCACCTCAAAATCTAGTTGGTCTCTAGTCTATGTCATGTTTGAACTCTACCGGATCTGTGGTTTTGTTGACTAAAGCGCGTACGCTCCGTTTGTTAGCTATTTTCTCACTAAGGGTTGGTATCATAGCAGAGTGATCGGAATTTAAAATAAAATCATTTTCTAACTTCAAAATATTTGCTGAACTTCTTTTAGATATAAAAAGAAAGACATTTTTAGCAAATGCTTAAAAATATCCTTCTTTATATTACATCTTGGTGGACAATATACTGATCAATATTTTTGGTTCCTCATCATGTTTTACCGTTTCCCTATTTAAAATAGCGCAACATCCTCCATTCGCCATTTGCGTTCCTCGTACCAATTCGTATTTTATTTACTGAAATATTATTTATTCAGAAATCGCTTCGGGCTTGGTAGGTACACGTTAGTTCCCCACAGTTAGTTCATTGAGATTTCGCCAATTCTTTGTAGCACGTCTTGCATCATTTGCATTAAACTACCGTCAATTTCTTTAGGTTTTTGCATTGTATTTTTGTTAATTTCTTTATTATTCATGTCTTTCTTAGGTCTTTTTTCCATATAATTTACTAATACCATACACGTAACACCATTTTTTACCTTATTTGATGAAAAAGCATTACAACACATTCATTTATAGTGTAACACATATTATGTTGTTGACGATAATTAAATTAAAGTTCTGTTCTTTTATTTTAATACTAAATTTTTTTACAATTTTCAAGTCTGTTATTCTTTCATACTAAAGAATTTTTTTATTTATTTTTATCAGATGTACAATTGTATTTTCAATAATAATTATAAGATAAGTGTAAAATTAAAATGTAAATAAATTGTGTTGTGCACAAATATCATTCCAGGACTGATAATAAATACTATGAACGCACATATATATTTAATCATGAAAGGTGTTAGGGAAGAATTAATTTTGAATGAATCAAAATTTTTTTAGAAAAACCAAATATTCTCTGAAATTTGTTTTTTGACCTGCATATACATACTTATGCACATATATAATCATAATACTGCTGTTGTTACAATTCTTTCGATGTAGCACCAATAAACACATTAATGTTATAACTTAATTTAAATCTGCCTTGACTGCTTATTTATCTTTTTAGTAGTTTTCCAAAAAAAAAAAATTTTAAAAAAAGTCCTTACTAGTTGCACTCTGTCCGTCAGGGACTCGTTTACAAAACTTCCACACCATTGAAGATAGGAAGCTGAAATTTCATATATACATAACTGGTATTTCCTAGAAGAAAATATTCTTATTTCCTAGGAGAAAATTTTTACCTATCCCCTCACCTCTAAATATTATAGCCCCTCAAAACCCAAAAAATGTCACTTTTATCGATTTGCAAACGTCACACATCAATGTTATAGATTTACAGTAACGAAACATTTTTGGAATTTTGCAAACGCAGAAAAGTAGTGATTAACTTCTAATTTCAAATCATGCCATACTTGAACTTAAAAAAAACAAAATGGTCGTTAAAATTTAAAGTTACCTGAAATCCGTGTTTCCAAATTTTTGATATCGTTGTTTTTGAAGATCGCTGGCTGTAGGAGTCTAAAATTTTAACAGCTTTCAGATATTAATAAATAGTTCATATAGTTACAAGAAAATATTCCCCCCAGCCCCCCTACAAGTTATCGCCTCACGAAATTTGTAAAATTTGAACTTTTGACACCTGGTACTTACGGCATTGCAAGCTTTTCAAATTTTAATAAAAGAAAGAAGAAAGCTAAAGGTAAAAGCCATGCCATTAAAAAATATAGTTATTTTTCTTATGCAATTAACTCACGCAATTAACCTTTAAATGCGAGCATTATGTTAGCGTCATTCATTTTTTTTTACTTCTTCCTAAATGTATGCAGTCCTTGAAATAGTGCTGTTGGTCGTATGTATACGAATGAAAGTAATATTAATAATGTAATGTAGTACATACATAGATATTTAAAAGCAGGCAAAAGTAGTATTTTTACTTATAGTAAGGGGAAAAGTGCTACATTGCAAAACATTGGTTTGACCCCACTTTATTTATTTTTTGTATATCAGCACATTCCTAAATTTAAATAGATACATATCAAGCTAAAGTTGAGTAAATATTAAGTATAAATGTCGATCGTGTCAACATTCGACAAAATTTGAATTCGAACTGCAAGTTTTTTTGTAACTTTTGTGACTTTCAAATATACTTTTTATTTGTTTACTATTGAAATATGTACTTATATGTATATGTTACTTGTAACACTTTTTTATCATTTGTTGATAAAACAGTGTTACAAATAACAATTAAACCTGAATTTTTAGTTTGCCAACATTTCATTATAATACGTACATACAATATATGTATTTAGCCGATAGATAAAATTTCATCATGTACTATATGTATATATACGCATGCGCAAACTATAGGAAATTTGTTATCAGGCGGCTGTTAGGTAATAAATTTAAAATTATACGACTATAAGAAAACGATATTGTAACTTTTTGACTAGAAATGGTTTTTAATTTAATAATAAATTTGAAAAATAGACAAAACTTTTGATTGTAGACGATGTTTACAGCTCAACAGGTTCGGAGTTACAAGGATTTAAAGTCAATTTCGACTGATTTCTTTACTTGAAATTTTGAGTATAACTCCGCGAGTGTGTAAGACAGGCGCATTAACAAATATGATTTGAAAACCACAGTAAAGGTTTTCTTATGAATGCCTACATTAGTTATAATTTGTTCGGATTTCGGAATCATACGACTGTAAAGTTCGAAAAATTTCAAATTTCAATTTTTCATTTTTAAAAAACAGTAATTTTCTAGGTGATGTAACATTGGAGCTTTCTCCAGTTTTAGCACAGGAACCTTGATAACTGAGCTTCAATTTGGTGTATGAGTTATTACACTAGCTGATTTGGTTAGGAGTTATTAGCTTAAGAAAATTGAAAACTTTAGAAGTCTTTCTGTTTAAATCAACTTCAGTCGTAAAATAGACGTAAACCTTTTCTTTTAAACCTTTTAATTTCTTCTGATCTGATTTTGATTCGAAATAAGAGCATGAAAAATCCATGTTCTGGAATATACCAAAACTTCTTATATCAAATAACAATGTATTACAATGCATATTATACGTAAATGTTCACATACTATGTTTAGTCACAATTCCTTTCAGTTTTAGCTCCTATAATTAATACGTCAGTAAAGGGACTGTACCAAATGTTAACTCCTATCTTAGTAAAAAACAATAAGCTTTGTCTGAGTGTTTTTTTTTCACCAAAAATTATTATTTAATTTTTCGACAAATCGTATTAATTTTAATATACTATATTTTAATATAATTTGACGATATCAAAAAATAACTCAGTTATTTTAAAACTATGTAGCCCCGATACACAAATTTAAACCTAGACTCTAGGGTTGTTATTTATTAAAATTTAACTGAGTTATTTTTTAATGTGAGTCTCTTAAAAGAACCTAATATAAAGTTTTATTTGGTTCTCATATTGTAAAAATAACTTTGTTTTGACATAATTGGTCTAATCTAAATAAAAACTTTTTAATCATTTCAGAAATATAAATTTTTATCATTGCGAAATATTTAAGAAAGAAACTGCTGAACGAATGTAAAAATATTAAAAATGTGTCGTTGTTGCCAAAGGTAAATTTTTTAAAACAAAATAGATTAAGAACAATTTAAGATAAATTAAACGAAAAAATAAATATTTTTGTCGTTGCAGTTGCTTAGAAGATCTGTATTGGAACTGTATTGAGGAGAAATTTTGTTTTGATAAATCAATTGGTTAGTTTTTGTCTTTTTATTTGAAAATTTTGTAAGATTTGCACATTATTTTTCCAATATGTACATCCCTAACTTAAACAAACATATTTTGGAAAATCTTTATATTTTTGGGAAATTAATTTTCGTAACCACGGTTTATTCATGCAACCGTTTTATAAAGTAGAAAAGGTTTAAGACATTTCGAAAAATATAGAAATCCCGAAGTAAAATTGTTACTTCTGAATTTCTATAGGTTGAACTCGTATGTAAACATCATAAAACTGCGCAATAAAACGAAATTGTGCATGTCAGGAATTTAAAGTTTTAAAAAACTTGAAGAACAATAACTTCAATTTAGTTTGTGGAATTTATCTTTGAAAATTTTATATACATACATACATACATTATGTATAAAGCGTGCTTTGTACATCATAGCACGCTTTTCCATAAAAAAACTGTTTTGAAATAGACTTGTTTCTTTTGTGAAAAAAAGCAAAATAAAAGTAAAATATTATATTCGAACAGCATAAATTTATTTATCTTATCAATAAAATATATCTATGTACCTACATATGTTATTTGATCATAAAAATTTGGAATGTAACTAGAAAAAAAAAAAGAAATATATATATTATATGTATATATATATATGATATATGTTTATATATATATATATATATATATATATATATACATTATACATATATCTATATATATAATAAATATATGTATGTATATACATATGTACATGTTTTCACAGCTGAATACAACCCCGACGAGGATGAATTCGTTACTAAAAACAACATTAAAATTATAGCCAATGGACAGGATAATAATAATAAAAGTCCAATACGTTCTCAACCAATGAAACGAAACGAGTCTACAAGTTTTAGGTAGATACATATTTCTTTTTCATGTACCATTGTTTACGGCTTTAAAAATGGATAAAATGTTTTGAAGTCTCAATAGTTTTTCAGGTACAGCGAGTTTAAGAAAATTGCAGAAATGTTTTTAATTATAATTAACGTTCCAACAAAAAGTCTTGAATGGGTTAAAACAGCTTCGAAGAAAAATATATTATCCCATTTCATAATTAATACAACCAAAGATAAACATTTTAAAATATCCTCTATATATCTAGAGGATATAGCAAAAAAAAACGTTTGAATTTTAAGATTTTAAAAGTTTTGTTAGAAGGGACTATAATTTTCAAATTAAACCAATTATATATATTTATTAAGAACTAAGTGCGAAAGTTTCAAATAAAAATATTATCCATTTTCGAAGCCCAAACGATAAGATAAAGCACTTCATATTAATTAACCATCATGTAAATTTTTCGTATATAAATATGCCTATGAATATAGACATACATATGTGTATATACGAGGATTATGAATATATGTACATGTTAAAATTTTTTTCCAAACTTTATCCCATTTTCAGCAATGCAAAAATTCATGAAGAAGATGTACGACGCGAAATTCAAACTAGTGTACCAATTTTGGCACCTGAAATTTTAGCAGTATTTAATAATTCACAAATTTTTCAAGAATCCCAAAAACTATCTAGAACAAATACAAAATCTGGTATTACACCTATTCATACACCTACATCAACTAGGAATAAATATATGGCTAGCGAACAAAAAAAATTAATTTTTCATTTAGAAGGTAATTTTTTATAGATTTTTCTTTATTTCAAAATCATCTAAAATTTTTATATGAAGGTTTTTAATTACTTTAGGGAATGCCATTGAAATAACAAGGGACAGTACAAAATCTGTGTCAACAATAACCGATAACCAAATTAATGAAACTGCAGTTAATACAACAAGAGATAAGAAAATTAAATTTACTATAGCGGATAATTCACCGCTTGAACTAGTTGCTAAATCACCAAATGCTTATTGTCCTATTATACCAGAAAATGATGAAGATGAAATCGATGATGCAACTATTAGTGAGATAGTTTTGAATAATACAAAATTATGTCCAAATATAAATTCACATAATCAAAGTAAAAATGAATCTAATAAAAGTTCAATTGAAACTATAGAGGCAAGTGTAGATGGTAGTGAAAGTAATATAAACGATGAGGTTATATTGCGTCCAAAGTTTATAGATGATATTAGTTTTGCAAATGAAAAGAGTTTATTTGATCATAAACCGTTAAGAAATGTTTATAGTATGCCATATGTGAAAACACCAGCAGTTAGAACAGTTTCAAGTGAAACGGATATATTTTCCATAACAGCTTCGGGATTATATGGCCAATTGAGCATGACACCAGAAGTGCCATCAATTTCTTTTGCACATTTACCTAAAAATTATGAAGATACACCTACAGTTGAAAAATATAAGGAAACAATAACTTTATACAAGTTACAAACAGCTAACAAAGAAAGAGCTGATAGCCAAATTGTTGATTATTCAATGCCAAGATATTTTAAGAAAACATTGGCTCACAGTAACCAAAACTTGGAGGATTATGCAGGCGATTTGAAAAGCACGCATAGTAAGGGTGGTTCAAAAGAAAACGTAAATATTCACAATAGTAATAAAAAGTTAGAAAGAAGTAAGAGGCTGAAACAACTCAGAGGTAATTTACCACCTTTAATAATTGTACATCGACATCATCAGAAAAAAGAAGATATTAAAAATACGCATTAAAATAATAGAGGAAAACGAAAACTATTAGAATGTATACAAATTATTTCCAATTTGATATTATAATTTTTTTGAGCATGTGACAAACTTCCATCATAATTCATTCAAAAAGATACATATGTACATACATATATTCAGTTATACCTAAGTATTTTCTGAATTTAATTTATTACCCTTATTATGATCGAATGACATTTGAAATTATGATTTATGAACATACTTTACAGATAGTTTAGATTTTCCCATTATATCACTATAAATGCTATAACATCAACTAAAAAAAGCACTTACGTACTTATGTATTATTTTGATTTTTGGTTTTATTCGGCAAGCTTGCCTAAAATTTAGGCGAATTCGCTAATCATAATACCAAATATTCATATTCGCCAAAAATTTCACTCGCTTCGCCGATCATAATGGGAGCCTATATTTGTTTATCTTCCAAGAAAATAAGCTATGATAATTAATTTTAATTCTTTTTAAAGTTTCATTTTTAAGTTGCTACGTTTCATTGAAATTTCTGAAACAATATATTTTATAGATTCAGGTTTGATGCAATAATCTTACGCAAAAAAAGTACACACAAGTATACTTTCTACTTATTCCTTTATATCTCTTCGAATAATGATGATCTTTAATGATAAGATTACTATGAAACATTCTGTTTTAAATTCCTTAACAACAATTAAAATAATACATTAGTATAAAATTAAAATAATACATGAGTATATATTTTTTGTACTAAGATGATATAACATAAAATACTGACGTGGAGGAACAATAGTCTATATTTTGCATTATGGAAACATACTGGGAAGATAATTTTTGATTAAAAGAAAATCGAGAAGTATTTTTTTATACAAATAACTACAGTATTTTCTTTCTAAAAAACTTAATTTAAATAAATTTTAAAGACCTGCAAAAAGAACTTGTTAAAGGTATTAAATTCTATGCAGATTGGATATATTTTGTTTATAAGAATATTATTTAGCTGGGTAAAAAGTTTTAAATATCTGCATTTTGTTCTCTTTTCTTACATGTATTTAGAAAATCTGGTTAACTTTAATTTTTTAAACAAATATAAAAAGAAATTTACTATTATCTTATCACGCTACCGCAAATTAGGCAAATGGCAAAGGAACGGAGCTGAGGGCGTTCCGGACTGAAACTAATCTAAAGGCAAAAAGATTTTATAATTTTCTGTCCTAAACCGCCATTAAATTCATTTTTTGCACACACTCCTCAGATCTGAAGTAATGCAACGTAACTACAAACATATTGTTTTTGAAAATAGCTAAATTGAAACCCTCTTTTCTTATATCTTTCATACTGTTAAAGAAGAAGTTACGTTGAAATTTATTTTTCTAATTTTTAAACCGAACATGTTCTTTATTTATTGAAAATTAAATTTTTCTATTAAATTCAAAATCTTTAATGAGAAAATGATATTTGATAAAATGATGGAAATACTTCTGTTCAATCAATAGTCTCGAATATATTTAAAAATACCAATAAAACGTAAGAAAAGGAGTTGCTGATAAAAATGATTGAAAATTATTTAAAAAATTTAAAACTTTTTTTTATGGTTCTCTGTTAAATTTCCTTTAGTTGGTCGACGGTCACTTTCTACAAAAATGTCATTCGTTTTCGCTATTACAGATTTCATTTCTACTAAAATTGAAACAAATTGAACACCGTTCATTTATGACATCTTTGACATTTAAATCATATTTAGACCATTTTAGACAAAAAATTTTAGACGAGTCGAATGATTGATTAGTTGAATCAACTGGTTCCTTTAGCATTTAGCTAAACCAAAAAGTTGAATTGTTGTTTCAATTTCACATAGTCCACTAGAAAGAATATACGAATAAAGTTGACGTAAAATCTTATTTTTGGGGTATCATTAGAGCAGAAAAAGTATATATTGATTTGAATAAGGTGAGGTAAGGTATTAATTATGCGATAGGTAGTTTGGATCGCTATCTTCGAAACCTTTTTAAAATACCTGCTACATCTAAAAAAAAAAAGTAAAAAAAGTGTTACATTATGATAAACTGGAATCAAAGATGTTCTAAAATAAATATTAATAATTAGTTCACTCACTTTTATATACTTGCAATTTTAGTTTCTTTAGCTCTTCCTCACATGAATTAAAATATTTCCAACTCACACATAAAGGGAAAATAAGATAATATTAATGTTTGTTTGTTTGTGTAATTAAATATGAAATGTCCAATTATATTAATATCAATATGTACATAGAATTATATAAAATGTGAAATATATTATTATCACTCATTTCATTATGAAAGAGAAAAAAATGTATACATATCTCTATGATGCTATGAATTATGATCTCACGAATCACGATATGACATTTTTGAGTTTTCTATTTGCAATTTTTTTCTTTATCTCTGTTTTATTCAAATGGTATGTTTTTCAGAGTCAGCTCCGCTTATAAATAATAAATTAGAACCAATTGCAACAACAATTCCGTTTTCTAATTTTCATGAGAAGAAAGAACAAAATATAAGAGAATGGGAAAGTGATCAAGGCAAAACAACTTTTGATAATTTTTTTGTATGAAAATAGCTTTATGTTAGAAAAAGATCGTGAGCTTTGGAATGTTGAATGTTATATTTCTAAATGAAATGAGAACTCAATTAATGTAGTGTGTTACTGTTAATTTACTACTTCTGTAAGAAAAAATTGGACCTAAGTGTAGTATAATCATCAGAAGGACTCTTGAACTTTCTATGTGAAAAATATTGGCATCACTGGCCTGGACCCTGCTTTTTTTGTGAATGTAATTGTTAAAATTGCATATGTATTTTTGGCAAAATTACATTTCTCAAAAATCATTTTTTTTTGCTTTTTTGGAAAAATTATGATTTTTGCAAGAATTAGAAATACTAAAAGAAGGAGCATCTTGAAAAAACAATGAAGCCAAATTTTTTCTAGTTGTTTCTTTCTTTGCTCCGAGTATTGTCAAAGTCGTAACACGAGCGTATTTATTTTACTTTCTTATCTGGCCTTTACTTAAATTAAATTTTTTTTAAAGTAAAAACTAAAAAATATCTCAAAATATTTTGTCATTTTAAATATCTGAAAAAAAAAAAAATAATCGAATTTAAACAATACAATATTTTTTTCTCTTCGAATAAATTTATTTTATAAATTATAAAATTATAAATTTTGGTAAAATATTTGAAGTGCAAACTTCTTTATTAATAATTCCAATCCACTTTCTTTTTATTTCATTCAATTGAGTTATCTCATTTCGGTTATTTATACTTATAGAATTTTTTCAAATAATTTCATAATATTAATTAATAATTTCATAAATAATTTCATAAATATGTTTTGACCTACTTCCAATCAACTTTTTTTGTAGATTATTATTTTAAAACTAGTTCTAACATGTTATATTGAGTGTTTCAAAAATTTCTTTCATATTATGTTAACAGCTAAACAAGAGCAATCTATTTATAAAATGGCCCTGCCTGTGTATGAGTCTTAATAGTAAACGCAAACAGACAAAAATTTACATCGGTACCTACTACCTGTCATTTTACAATCGGAGTTTTTGAGTCATTTGCTATGATACTATTTATTTCAAAAATAAAAAAGATATTCGAATACGGTCATAAAATATATTATTGTCTTTTCCAAAATCTTTTAAATATTTTTTTGCTTAGGTAAAAATTTTTCTCACAAATAGAGGTAAAATTTAGAAGTGTATATAAAATTTGTATTTAAAAAATTATATGTGATTGTATTTTAGATATTATTTTCTAATTCCCTCTTCAAATTTTTTCTTTACTATGTATTTATATCAATATTCAATAATTATCTTTCATTAATTATATTTTCACTCTTGACACCAAAGTTACTTTCCATATCTTAAGTTAACTTACCCTATGAGAAAAAAAAGCTGTTCACTTAAAAATAATGAAGTGCTTTCAGTAACATAAAAAACGTTGAAGGCGAAGGTTGTGTTTGTTGTTTTTCCGCTGTTTCAAGAATTTTAAAATAATTATGAATGAAAATATTAATATATTTTCTTGGTTTTTCAAATATATTTTCTAAATTTTACCTGCTTTATAATAAGTGCGAATTTATTTTAATATTTCTTCTCAAAAAATAGCCACTTCGATTTAAAAAAATCCATATAAAATAAGGTCGTGCTTTCAAGTTTCTCTCTGACCATTGGGACTTGTTAGATATAAAGACATTAAATAAAATTTAAATGGGAAGCTTTTTAAAAAATGTGTATAATATCCTGAGATTTTTTTAAATATTAAACTCTTTTTTACGTAAAAAAAAGACAAAAATAATAAGAAATATGATACGATCAGTGGCATTTAAAGAAAGAAACCGGAACGAAGGCAAAAATTCGTAATATTTCGTAAAAAAAATTGAGTATTGGGACTTGTTAAATATAAAGACATGTGATTTTAATTTAGAATTTAATTTTGTAATTATTTGATTTTAACTTTTTGAAGTGCTTTTACAATTTTATTATCAGTATAAAAAATGCGTCGTTTCAAGCTGTCCCTATATAAAAATATAACAATAAAAATTTTATAAAGAAACTTGTGCAAGTTTTAAAGTTCCTGATGTGGTAGTTTAGGTAAATCAGTGAATTAGACTTACAATGTGAAAATATTTTCTAATATAACTAAAATCACATGCATACCTAAAAACAATTATATTGACTTTTAATATAAAAGGAATGCACAATAATATGCAAGAATATGTTAACATTTTTATGAATTATGAAGCGTATTGATTTAATTAACATAGTATACACATATAGTATGAAAAATATATATATACATAGATATATGTGATTATATAAGAAGTATATGCATTGTAAAAGACATTTCATACATAACTAAAAATCAACTTGATATTTCGAAAAAAATGCATATATTGAAAAATTTTTCTCGTAGTACAGCATTTATTGAAATCATAAAATGTAAATTGTACGATTTTATCAAAATTGAAAAAAAATCAAATTTCAATTTAACTTTTGTATCCTTCTTTTAAACACACTGTGTTATTTTAAATTTGAAAACTTAAAAATCCTGTTGCATTGAATTCTTAAATTCCATCGCTTACTTTAATATAAAAATATTTTGTTTC